CTTACAGCCAAATATGTAATAGAATTTTACATTGAGATAAGAAATACATGTATATATTATGAATCCGTACTATTCTGCATCAATATTTGTTCTTGCTTTATTTAAATTCATAAAGGGAACTAATTGCATGAAAGTTTGAGCAACGTTGGCCTAAAAGACCTGGGAGCGTGACCGCAGAGCCCACGGGACAACTGCTTGAAGTCGGTCGCGCACGGCCTTTTCGTGAGAGGTTTTGAATGTGTTAGCTCCGTTCTTCAAAGGGCCTTACCACCGGAGACGGAAATCCGTGAGGTAAGGTGAGGTGTGACATTTTTAGGGTCAACCTTTTTTAACCCCTTCCTTCCTTGTGAGAAGGCGGTATCGCTGTAGACGCTGGTTGTCCGAGGGAAACACCTTACTGTTGTCACACCACTCTACGTTCAGCAGTACGACTTCTCCCTCAGACCTTGAGTTGCTGCTTTTAGTCTTACCGTTCTCCAATCGACCTGCCTGGCATGGTGGACCTACAGGAACATATGTTCCAGCCAATATAGCTCAATTGGGTCGTCACGATAGGCAAGCCCGACCATTGCGTCAAGGTACCAGCTACGGTCGGGATAAAACTCATGAAACTCTCAAGATAAGTGGAGCGGTCGCAGAGCAATCCTGGAGCAACATTTCTCACTATTGTTTAAGGCGGTTAGGAGACTGTATTTTTTCAGTCTTCACTAAACAGAACTATACCATCTGCGTATTCCAAGTCAACAAATAAATATCCTAGTAAAAGATCAATAACTAAAACGTTAGATGAGAGCGTCATCTCCAAAAGAATGTCTATGATGAAGTTAATTAAAAATGAGAAAAGCGGAAAATCCTGACAAACACCACTTAAAATTATCAGTTCTGATCACAGTCGACTTGACCAGTAGCGTTTAGGTTGAGACTCAGAACAATCTTGATGTACTTCCTTGGTACGCCTTTCAATGACAGACACTCCAACAAAAACTCACGACCAACGGCGTCGAATACCGCCTTAATATCAAGGGATACAACCATAGTCAGACGTCAAAAAGTAATTTTTTGCTCCAGAACCTGCCAAAAGGTAAGTATTCAGTCTATAAATCCATGTTCAGGTATGAAACGAGACTAAATTTTTCAGGTTTGCTCTTCCCGAACCTTGGTTAAGAGTTGAAGCTGATATTTTAGGCACTATATTAGTTAAACCAATTCTTCGATGATTGTCACAAAATAATTTTTGTCCTTTCTTGTAGACTGCGACGACTAGCGATTGAAACCAATCAGATAGAATCACTTCCAGTTCCAAAATTCTAGCTAAGATATTATTCAATCTAACTGTTAAAACTGGGCTGCGATCCTTGAAGATTTTCGGGACTAATCCAACTGGACCTTTAATCGTTTAAATTACCTAAATCCATTCTTATTTTAGCCCAATATTAGCTTATTAGTTTTACGGAGCTTCTTTAATTACCCACATCCTGTCGAAATTTCATAAACCTATATTATAATCATTTTGTTACCTCACTGTTTATTCGCTGTTTATACTTCTTCACGACGTTGAGGATGATAAAAATTATTCTACTAACCATTCAACCGATTTCCTTGCAATATCACTTATACACGTAAAGTGCAGAGAAAACTAGCAAACACTTTGTTATCTAAATGACTTTACAGTTGATTTCTCATTTCATGACGTATGAACCAATTATTGGCCACCGGCTACCATGCGACTGCATCTCCTGACGTTGTTCCACTGCCTTGTGGATGAGACCTTTAAGTCGAAGGCTCGAGGCGTGGCCTCCTAAGGAAACCACCTGTTTCGGTCTGGGCACCCGGGTAGTATCACAGCCCATACACAAATCAAGTGACTTGTGTAGCGCATATGTATTCGTTGCCCCTTTGTACCAATATTTATGTGTTCAAATAAATGAATCATTTCATCTAAGAAACAATTCTCAAACGATTTCAAAATTCGTTAGAAATCGTCAATAAACTTAACAGATTAATATTTTTTGTCCACTATCATTTTGCCATGATGCGGCTGTTATTTCAGTTTGCTGTAAACCAATAAGATATATTACTCAATAAAAGTTATTTCACCCAGTTCACAGTTTGCTATACTATTTAAGTTACCTTACCGTACCTCTCCACATTGTTTAAATCCTTTCTAGTATACCACTGATTAGATTTGTTCTATGAAATTGAAGTAATTCTCCGGTAGTCAAATATCTTTAATATGGCTAGGGAAACTTGTACATCGACATGAGTTATGTTTTATAATTAGTAGTTTTACTCACAAATCTAACCGTAAATAATCACTTCGTCACACTAGTTAAGTAAAAGAAAATGAAAAAATGTATGATAAGAGTACACAAACTCACTTTATCCGTACGTCGGACATGAATACCAACAACTGGATTCTCATGTTGATCGTCGAATATTTTAAATTCTTCAGGGAAGTTAAACGATGGACGCATTAAAAATTTACCCAACTGACCAATGAACCACGCAAATGGGGCACCATGTAAACGCGCAAGTAATTTGCTCAAATGACTGGGAACAGCTTGAGGGATCCAATCAAATGAAGAGCTTATTGTTTCTATGTGCGGACACGTAATTGCTTGATAGGTATTAAACGCCTTCCCATCAAAAACTACGAATGAGAAAAGTCAAGAAAAATTAACAAAAACATCTCTAACCAATCTAATTTTTGAACAACCATACCCATAAGTGATCAAACGCTGCAAACTTAAAGATTGGCTGAGGATGACCTAATTTCCCATCAGCAGAATAAGAACTAGATGTATTGCGAAATCAAAATCACCAAAAATAAAAGATAGCATGATAGTAACTTGTTATAAAAATCACTCAAGAGAATCTGTAACAGCTTAGGTTGGTTGGTTAAGAGTTGACCCCAAACAACCAAGTATATGCCAAAACAGTATTGTTCAAGTATTCATTCACTTCCTTGTTTTGTATAAGCGTTATATTTCCTATTATCTTATATTGAATGTTGAGAGCCTTTGTTTGTCTGAACAGATAATCCCACGCTCCACTGTGACTGCGCTAAGATCGAAATAAAGACCTATTCACTACTTGTCTGATTTCTTCTATCAATAGCACGAGGGTTACTTTAAGACACGAAAGTGGTGAGCCCTTTTTGAACACAAATTTAACCTCATTTCTGTTATTTACATTTTTTTTACTTAATCGTAAAAGTAGATCTGATTATCCGTAAACTAATTTGATTATATAACTAGTTTATTCCGTATTATCTTAAGTTATTCGTGTTATAGTAACCATTTTTCGTGGTAAATTTATTGCTATATTTGTCACATACCTTATGTCAGACTCAATAGAAACCCATAATCTGGAGGATTTGTCACCAGTGGAGATAGACAGTGTTATGACTACGAAATCCCGACTTCCAGAATTTGATCGTAGTGATCCTGAGTTGTGGTTGGCTCAACTAGAGCATTATTTCACGAGACACAATATCAAATCTGAAGGGATTCGCTATAGAGACTTGTGTTCTATCCTTCCTCCGTCAGTCGCCAAAGAAGTCCGTGACTTGATTTTAGATCCACCATCACCACAACCATACACCATCTTAAGACGAGAGATAATGAACCGTTTATCATTATCAGATAGTCAAAGAATCCAAAGACCTTTTCAAGGTGAAACACTAGGTGATCGGTCGCCGTCACAGTTTTTACGTCACCTCCAAGTCTTAGTGGGTGATAACACAGTGGGTGAAGCAGTCCTAAAACAAGGATGGATACAAGCTCTCACATGATACGTCCAACACTGTTTGGATGCACAAGATCCTGAAACCTCATTATCTCATTTAGCGCGTATAGCCGATAGAATAATGGAAAGAGGTCCTCCAACTGGATCAGGCACAATAAATAACACACAAAAAGTAGAATCAGCAAAAGATCCCGTCATAGAAGGACTCATTGCGAGTGTTAAGAGTCTCACTGAGGCTGTCACCAGAATGCAAATGGGTCATAGGAACAGGAGCAGGTCACCACAACGACCACGATCCAAGTCACAAAACAGGTCACAAATGTCTAGACAATCTGGGCAGTTTTGTTGGTACCACTGGACGTTTGGTGTCAACTCAACCAAGTGCATGCAACCATGCGCCTGGCCTAAGCATAATTCTAAGACAGCGGGAAACGAGTAACCCCTCCCCAGGTCGCGACGACTGAGGAGGGGCGCCTAAACAGTCGCTTGTTTTATGTTAGAGACAGAAACTCTGGCTTGAAAAAAAAAAAAAAAAAAAAAAAAAAAAAAAAAAAAAAAAAAAAAAAAAAAACTGAGATTAGTCGAGAAACATCATTAATTACACTTCAAGCTGCAAATAAAGCTAAAATCGCGACATTTGGGCAGAAAACTTTAACCCTAGATTTGGGGTTCAGGAGGCAATTCCCTTGGGTTTTCACGGTAGCCGACTTAGATCTGGCAGTACTGGGGATGGACTTTCTAGAGAGATACGAATTTCTAGTTGACACCAAGAAACGGCGATTAACACTTAAAGAAACTTCGTATTACACAAAAGGCAAAGAAAGTCACATGAGCTCTCTTAACTTGATTCAAACTCCTCCAGTAACAACAGCGAAATTCCAAGATATACTCGCGGAATTTCCGAACTTAACTAAACCAAACCCACAGCCTTCCAAAGATAAACTAAAAGTAAGTCACACTATCAAAACCGAAGGTGCACCGGTTTTTGCAAAACCCAGGAGACTAGCACCAGATAAGCTCAAAATCACTAGGGCCGAGTTTGATTATATGCTACAATTGGGTATTATCCGTCCCTCTGATAGTCAATGGGCATCCCCTTTGCATATGGTCCCAAAGAAGAATGAAGGTGACTGGCGACCGTGCGGGGATTACAGAGCCCTAAACCGTCAAACCGTACCAGATAGGTACCCAATACCTCATATCCAAGATTTCACCAACGGTTTACAGGGTATGAACACATTCACTAAAATTGACTTAGTCAGGGCATATCACAATATCCCGGTGGCTGATGAAGATATTCCCAAGACAGCTATTACTACACCCTTTGGCTTATTCGAGTTTGTACGCATGCCATTCGGCCTGAGAAATGCGGCACAGACATTTCAAAGATTCATAGATAACCTACTTCGAGATATGCCATTTGCGCAGGGGTATATAGACGACTTGTTAATTGCCAGCCCCGATTTGCAATCACACGAACAGCATGTACAAGCAGTGTTGAAAAGACTGGATGAACATGGAATAAACATACATCAAAGTAAGTGTGTTTTCGGTGTTCAAACTTTAGAATTTCTCGGTCACACAATAAGCCCAGAAGGGATTAAACCTATCAAAAAAGAAGTGGATACCATCAAACAATACCCCGTACCTAGTTCTCTAACACAACTGAGAAGTTTTCTAGGCCTAATTAACTTTTATCGCAGATTCATACCAGGTTGTGCACAATTAATGCAACCTTTGACAGATTCACTTAAAGGAAAACCAAAAGAATTCAAACTGTCTTCTGACGCCATCGAAGCTATTAAACAGCTTAAAGATAAACTGGCTCAAGCAACTACGTTGATATATCCGAATTCTCTTTCCCCACTTGCTTTGATGGTGGATGCTTCAGATAAAGCAGTAGGCGGTACCCTTAACCAACTGGTTAAAAACGCCTGGAAACCAATTGCTTTCTTCTCGAAAAGACTCGCTCCAGCCGAAACAAGGTATTCTACCTTCGGGCGAGAACTTCTTGCAATCTACCTGACCATTAAACACTTCCGACACATGTTAGAAGGTAGGGAATTTATAGTCTTTACGGATCACAAACCACTGACGAATGCATTAAAAGCGAGAGCCGATAAATACTCACCTCGAGAAGTCCGACACCTTGACTATATATCACAGTTCACAAGCGATATCCGACATGTCAAAGGTCAGGACAATCAGGCGGCAGATGCTTTATCCAGACTAGAAATGAACGTGCTACAGCAGTCTACAGTAAACTTCGAGACGTTGAGACACGAACAAGAGCAGGACCTAGAATTACAAAACCTACTTAAAACAAACAATTCAAGTCTTAATTTAAAACAATTCCCATCACCTATCGATGGTATTCTAATTTATTGTGACACGACCAAGGCAATGCCGCGACCTTTCGTTCCCAAAAATATGCGAAAGTTGATATATAATAACTTTCATTCTTTGTCTCATCCTGGCGCGAAAGCTTCAACAAAACTAATCAATGCCAGATATATATGGCCGAATTTACAGAAGGATGTACACAAATGGGTTAGAGAGTGTTCAGCATGTCAACAATCAAAGATTAATCGTCACACAAATTCACCCATAGGTGTTTTCTCGCAACCAGATGCACGTTTTGCCCATGTGCATATCGACTTGGTAGGTCCTTTACCACGTTCAAACGGTTTTAATTATCTTTTTACATGCATAGATCGATTTACCAGATTCCCTATAGCCATCCCGATAGCGGACATCACAGCGGAAACAGTAGCCAAAGTTTTCATGCAGAACTGGGTAACCATTTTTGGTACACCTATAACAATAACGACGGATAGAGGAGCGCAATTCGAATCCGAACTATTTAATAACTTGGCTAAACTTCTAGGCTCCAATAGGATACGCTGCACTGCATATCATCCTCAGGCTAATGGGATGGTAGAACGTTTTCACCGTCAGCTAAAAACCGCCCTTATATCTCACTCAAACCCCAATCAGTGGACAGAATTCCTACCGTTAGTTATGTTGGGAATACGAACATCTGTCAAAACTGACGCACAGTGTTCAGCTGCGGAACTGGTTTTCGGAACAACTCTGAGACTACCAGGTGAATTTGTTAACCCTAATACTAACAGTCAAAAACTTAATTTAGAAAATTATGTAGATCAACTACGGGACCACATGTCTAAAATTAAGCCGATTAATACTCGTGAACAATCGCGCGCCGTATATATACCTAAAGACCTAAGCAATTGCACGCACGTCTGGATAAGATGTGACAAAATAAAAGCACCACTCAGTCCTCCATTTGAAGGTCCTTTCAAAGTCGTCTCAAGAAAATCTAAATATTTCGTGATAGAAAAACATGGAAACATCGACACAGTAAGTATTGATAGGCTAAAGCCGGCTTATCTAGATCATGAACCACCATACGTGTTGTTAGATCGTTTAACTGACAAATCCATTACGGAATCGAAATGTAAAGATAATAAATCTTTACAAATGACTAAAACGGTTCGCTGGGCACATCCAATTAGTCAGTCAAGGATGTTGACAGTTTCGGCTGCAGGATAAAATCTAACCACGCAGCTAATCACACCCTGCATCTACTTAAAAATAATTTTTTTCCTCATTCCGCCTCACCGACAACTCCCCAGACCTTTTACCTTTGATATATAAGTGTTATGTTAAATATTTTTTTAAAATACTGGACACATAAGCTAGGTATTCCGAAACGATGGCTGAGGATTTTAATCAAACTCATACAACTAACACTGGCAAATACAACGAATTCAAAAAGCAACCCAGGCGAGTTTTATAATTTCTTTTTCTGGTTAATTAACTATGTTGGCTGTACTTCTTATATATTTATATACATTTTTCACGTAGACTGGCTATACATAT